GGATAGATGCAGTAGGTAGAAATAATATAGTGCTCAAGTATATAGGAACATGTAATTTTAAATTTTATCAAACGTTAAAAGTTCATAGTAGTTGTATGAAGAAAAAGAGGTCTCTGGATGGAATCGAACCCACAATCTCTGTGACGTTCAAAAGTGTTGCAGGTGTGACCAAAATATTTGTGTAATAAAGCACTAATATACTGTTCCGGCATTATACTGTATACCAGTATGCTATCAAAGGTCATAAAATTGCAAGAGGTCTGATTGTCCTGATTTTGTATGCAGGCAATGAAATGAAATACAAAGTACTACCATTAGATGGGTGTGGGCGCCCCATTATAATTCAAATCTGATTTGAATAGCATCCAAAATTTCGAGCAGGCATTCTTCACTAGCAGCACACATTCGACAGTCTCTAAGTCGTAGTAGTACAGTACTTTTCTAGATAGGATTGTGTTTCAACGAATCCCGAGAATCAGACCTCTTTCAGTTGTATACTCTTTGATGGTATTTTAATCATTAAATTTTCCTTCATGTTATCTTATTCATTGTTTTTTTTAGTAAGCAAAGAAGGCAAAATCATTGGAACTAAAGGTAATTTCAATATATTCAGTAAATACTTTTATTCTTTAATTTGCACAAGACCCAAAATGTTGGGAAACAGAATTTTGAACATTTTCAGGATTGCATTTTAATATAAAAGGACATATTTCTGTAAAATATCAATCACTAAAATCTAATTGAAAAGTATATTATAATTGTTTTTAAAATAAAATCTTGCAGTAATATTAAACCTTACCTTTTCTCAAACCTTTTATATGGCTGATATTCAATGAAATAAATATTCATAATTTTGCTAATACTCAACCAGTTTTCAAATTAACAATATTTTAAAGATGAATTCATGAAGAATACCAAAACTAATTTTGAACTTTTCCTACAAACGGCTGGTTTGTAACATTTTGTAACTTTGATAATTGCATGACCTGGAATCTTTCTGTATATCTGCTGTGTGAGTTTCGAAACCTGAACATTTGTAACCAATGTACTTACCTACAATATGTCTTAATGTGTCCTGGTTGTCAGGTATAAGCAGTGGAGTAGCAGGAGGCTTCCGGAGGGTGCAGTGTGCAAAAGATCGACATTCCATGTTTTTTGAATAATAATAATTGTCATATCTTATCTTACCTCCCCCTTTTATATGTTAAGTACAGTATTTGGTTCTTTCCTACAAATACAGTAAACTTTTCCGTGTTAAAATAAAGATATTGATTATTATTATTATTATTATTATTATTATTATTACCTACAGTATCAATAACTATCCATCATGAGTTTAATCATCTGTATAAAATTCCTTTTGAATCAGTATATCAAATGTAATTACTTTTATTTTGGATTTGAAGGTTACTATTACAGTCCTAATATTCCATTTAATCTTTCAGTCCCACCGCTGACGGATATCATTCTAGTCGATGCACAGCTAACCTTAGAACAACAATTTTTAACACAATATGATGATCCTAATAGCCAAGAGTATCAGGAACTTGAAATGAAATTTATAAAAGTGGTAAGGTTTTTGCTTTTTAGAAATACAGTACCATAATCGGGGGGGGGGGGGGGGGGGGAAGGGGGGGGGGGGGAGCTTAAGTTCCCCATTGGGCAGGTCAAGCGGCCCCCGCCCCCTCACTGGCCAGAACTTGTCAAGCAGTGAGACTGAAAAAACAAAATTAGGCCTACAGTACACCAAACCAACAAATGGCTGGAAACGACACTATCAGACTCCAAGAGTGCCATTTCTGGCCATCCAGAGGTTCCCCCCTCAAAAACCCTCCCCCTGGCTTGGGCATAGTACTCCTCCGATAGCACTGTGCACCAAAGTTATTTATATCACGCTTAGCAACCCTTTCCCCCACTGTCGGACAGCTAAGACCCCTAGAAAATGTATCCTACAGCTGTCACTCACCATAATGAATTAAATAAGTTTAAATATAAATTTGTGACATAAACCAATATAAGCAGCCAACCAGGAGAAAAACTATGAAACAGTTCCTATTTTTCCAGTTCCAAAACATTTTCCAGCATACAGTAGACCTCAAAGCTAGTACATTCATAGTTCCAGATAAGTTCCTATTTTTCCAGTTTCAAAACATTTTCTAGCATACAGTAGACCTATAAAAGCTAGTACATTCATAGTTCCAGATGGTTTTATTTTTCCAGTTTCAAAACATTTCCCGGCATACAATAGACCTATATATAAAGCTAGTACATTCATAGTTCCAGATGATTTTATTACAATATGATAAAATGATTCAATTCGAGTAGTCCAATGGCTGAGTTGTTTAAACAGTCGCCACACCATATTGGTTATTATTACCAAAGACTTCTAACTGTTACCAGGATAGGAATCTGGCTGGTTTAAGCCGTCTGAATTAGCTTTATGTGGGGTTTTGTTATGCTAATGAGGCAAATAAGCACAATCTGCACATGCTCAGAAAACCAAAACTTTCCTTAACCACACCATGGCCACACTGCGTATCGGGCTAGGCGTACAGCTATGTAAAACATAGCAAAATAAGGCTACTAATTTCACTTGGCATGCAAATCAATCATACTTACACACTTAAAAACAAAATAATCTACCAATAAAATCACCTGCAAGTTAATATATAAGGCAAGTATGTTCACAAATTTGATTTTAAATTGATGTGATTTTGTTTTGTAGTATTACAATGAACATCACATAGGCTAGCCTAGGCCATGTCAAACCGCTAATAAAAATGCAGAAAAAAAGACCCAAAACAAAATAATTAGAATGAAGTTATCAACTAACTAGTGCATTAAAATTATTCATATACTTACTACTTGCCTATATAAAATTAAAATGTATTGCGCACAAATGCCAATATTTTGATTTAAATATGCCTTTTCCACAAATCGGTAGACGTCTTGAAGTGATGACAAACAGCCAGTGGTGCGTAAAAAACAAAAATAAGATAAGCTAGGCCTAGCTGCTGTATGCCTAGCCGATACACAGTGTGGCTAAGGAAAGTTTTGTTCTTCTGAGCATTTGCAGATTGTGCTTATCTGGCTCATTAGCATAACATTACCACACATGAGGCTAATTCAAGTTAGACTTCTTAAACCAGCTAGCTTCCTATCCTGGTAACAGTTAAAAGTCCTTGTTATTACAATATGATCAAATGATTCAATTCGAGTAGTCCAATGGCTGAGTCGTTTAAACAGTCTGCACCAAAAGCCATGCATATTGGTTAGAGCATCTGGCTCACATGGATGAGTAAGATTCAGTTTTTGTTCAACAAGAAATTCTCTACTAATTGACAACAAAATACAGAAAATATGAATTTAGATTTAAAGTTAATTAAAAAAAAACAGAATATTCAAAAGAAGGAGGCAAGTGCTAAACAAAAACATGCATGCAAAAAGAAAACAAAAACAAAGAGCAACAAACAGCATTGTAGTTCTTAAAGCATGTTTTTTCAGTACACCTTCCTCCATGTACTGAAGTTATGCATGTGGAATATAGTGCCGTCTTATGAATACCTGCAAAGTTAGACCAAGGAATATACTGTTACGTTATGTTATTTTATTTCATATTTCAGATGGATGAAATTATTTTGGCAAGTAATTATAGTTTAGCATATATCGGCACAACAGTTGTTGATTTCAGGTAAACAGTTAATTTTTTCTATGGGATAAAGTGTATATGCTTATAGCATGTTTGTCATAATAGGACTAATTCAAATAATGCACCGTTGGGTCCCAGTGGCGGATTCATAGCTTCATACCCACCATCTCACAAGTAGAGGGCTGGTCGTAAATGAAGGGACCATAATTTGTGATTGTTCATTCAAATGGAAAACAACTACTGTAAAACCAGAAACGAATTGATAATTTTGGCTGTTTTAGCGACATTTAACTTTCACGAATTGCAAAAGCCCAAAATTTTATTCATTAGAGGAATACCATACAATAGCTAAAAATATTTTATCGTGAGTCCTAGGCCTAGGCTAGATAGGCCTACAGGGGCCTACAGCCACTGTCTAGGCTACAGTAGCTAGGCCAAGCTAGGCATCATAAGCATGCCTACCTCAACTGCTCTAGGACTTAGCTGGCCATCCCAGGCACAGTTAATTATGACAAAGACAGGAAAGACACATGGAGTACTCATTCATATGATATTCCTAAATTTTGTATGGTATTGATTAATTGATTGATTGATTGGTTTTGTATGAATTGGTCATGTAGTTCGATACAACGAAAGTCGCCTACCAAGAAACATCCTTTACGGTGAACTAGTGAATTCACCTCGACCTCATGCACGTCCGAAGATGCCATTAAGCGTGACCTAACTGCTTTCAATATTCCTTCTGCCACATGGGAGACCATGGCAATCAACTGAGCTTTGTTGCGTTCTGAATTGACAAATGGTAGCCAATACTCATCTAATGTGTATGTTGCTGAATGTGAAAGACTACGCAGTCTTCGTCATCAGCAGAGATTCAAAATTTTCTTTTATAACTGATATTTGTTTATTATTGTTTTTCTGTGTTTTTGGACCTGAACTCATCGTCTGCTTTACGGGAAAGGCCATATATATATATATATATGTATATATATATATATATCTTTATATTCAAGCATCCTACCATCCTACCATGAACAATGTTTATCAAAATGTGTGTTTTATTAACAAATTATTTTCCTGTAATATTGATTCAAACATCGTGGTTATGTCGTGGTATAATAATAATAATAATAATAATAATTTATTGGGAAACTACACTTTTAAAACAGTGGCACATTTCACATGATAAAGGTGCGTCCATAAAAAATAATACTTCAAACAGAATACAATATTTAATGGTAGCGTATTTGATCTAAGTTTAAATTTCAATGCAACCCCCTCAAAGTCTGTTTTATCAATAAGGTAATGTTGTAATACAGGATGGGGTGTTAAGGATGCATAAACTGAGAGGGATGATTTATTTTGAACATCATCTCTCAATTGATTAATCCAAATGTCAACCAATTTTCTTAAAATAAGCGTTTGAGAATAACAACATTCCTCGTTATTAAGTAGTGCATTGAAAATATCTCGCTTCTTAAAATAAAAAAAAATAAAAAATAAAAAATATCATTTATACAATATAGAAATTTATATCTTAAATCTTTAAAATCAGAATTGAGTTGGCAACATAGCAAGAAGTAGAAATTTGGGCCAACAATGTGTGCTCATTTCAATTATCCTGCTGAAGTATTTCACACGGGCAATTTTATGTAGTTCATTGATGGGAGACCATCCGAATTCCCCATACAATGCGGCACTAGGTGCTTTAAGTATATAACGCGCCCTTTGAAGTTATAAGCGTTCCAATTTTGATCAAGATTGCTTAAAGTACACCATACAGAACAGCCATAATTTATGGAAGGCCACAGAATATCTCCATAGTAAACTGTTAAAATTGTCAAAGTTACTAATAATTGATTTTATATATGCAATTAATCTTTGACCTTTTTGGATGACATTATTAAATTGCATATGGTCATTTAATTTCCGTGATATAATTACACCCAGATATTTGTAAGATTCTGCTTCTGTGATATAACCCTCCCCTAATTTCCATTTCTTTTCTTTATTAACACGTTTTCCCATAACCAAAATATTTGACTTGTCAAAGTTAAAATTCCATTCTTATGCAAATTTACCTGCAATGTCTAGCATTTTTTCCATCTCGTTTTCAGTGTTAGCTAAAAGCACAACATTGTCAGCCCAAAATAGGCTACCAACCCATATATCATTGATTCAGGTGCCAAGATCATTTGACTTTGTATTTTCGTAAATTCATTAATAAATATACTAAAAAGTACAGGGGATAACACACATTCCAGTTTCACCCCTTGATCAATATCAAAAAAGTCTGTGTCAATTGATCCAAAATAAACCTTTCCCTTAACATTTTCATATAATTTAGTGAACTCGATAAATAATACCTGATCTCCAAATTGCTTTCGTTAAACCATCCCTCCAAACACTATCAAAAGCTTTATAATAATAATAATAATAATATTTATTTGAAACTTCACTTTTAAAACAGTGGCACACGATAACGGTGCGTTCATAAGAGTATAACATACAGTATATAATCAAAAATAAAATAACAAACGTTAACAAATAAATTCAAATGCAGTACAGAATTAAAACACAGTGAGTAAAATGACAAACAATAACTCTAAAATTTAGATCATATTAAAGTATAAATAGATTAAAAAGGTACTTAATAAAGCAAATCTCAGCGATATAAAACGACTTGTTTAAAATTGATAAAGAGTTAAAATTAATCAGTTGACAAATTAAAAACGTTAAAATTTTCTGTCCAACAATGTTTAAAATTTGTTTTGTTTCCTACTACTTAACACAGAGGTAAAAAAATTTTTGAGTTGCTTAATTATTTCTGGTTCATAATTCTACTTCTAGTTTTCCAGGCTCTTTTTAGATAAGACTTACACATTTTATCAAATATAGTACCTTTCCTTATTATTTCTGTAATATTTATACATTTCATTGTTGCCAAGCATGAGACAGGTTTTTGTTTGGAAATCCCCAGAGATAAACCAATTCCAAACAAACTGTCCATCAATCATTTTACACAACATGTTTTCTAACCTATTAAATTCATCTATACGTATATCATTAATTTTATTATTCCTACATGTAAATAAAAAATGAATAATATCCTCAGTATCGGATTTACATAGTGTACATATCTCACTGATGTCATTAGCTTTTCGAAAGTCCAGGAAGGCAATATAGGTGTTTTTCTTTTGCTGGAGTAAATATGTGGTATGTAAATTAGTTTCTTCTTAGTATCCCCCGTAGTGGTTGTACATGTGCAATCAAATGCAGTGATGACCAGAACCTCCCTGATCAGTATACTTACAGAGTAGGTTCAAAGAGACCTAGAATTTACAAATTTTTCGAGTTCAACATCGGACTTTAAGGTCAGAATAATTATCGATTCAATAATTGAAATACATAATTTATATATATTTAATAAAATCCACCAAAATAGTTTCAAAAGATACAATTTTTTAAATACTGAAGTTGTTAACTCTTCACTAACATGTTGCAATTTGTGGGGATTTATCATTTAGGCCTATGCCCCAGTCTACATTGCATCGACATCGGTGAGTTTAGGCCTTGAAATACCGACAATTCTTGCTTTTTATTGTTCATTATCATTTTTAAAAAGTTAAAATTAATTTCTGGTGTAATTCAGTGATTTAAATTGAGAAAAATATCATTTCTGAAACTGATTCGACATTCAGATAGTACTGTAACCTTTCAACTTTGGTACATTCATGATGATTATGGGATGTTCCCGCGAAGATAGTCTTGTAAGCCGCCCTGTAATACTAGACTAGTGGAGATGAGTCTCGGTGGAATATTGGCGTGGACAAGCTGCATCTTGCGGCCACGTACAGTAGAGTATGAATAAACCCTTTTATATTCAGCATTGTGTCACTGATCGAACCATTGAACTGTAGTGTTACAGTATCTTTTGCACTCTCCAATACTTAACAGTACTTCAAACATAGAAAATGTGACCTGAAAATTATTCGCGGCATGAAACCTTCGTGAATCTGAACCATTTGCGAAAGTTTTATGATTGCGAAATTTCTTGGTTTTACAGTATTTGAAAAAGACCTAATTTTCTATCAAATGATCAATAATCTCTTATGTACAAAACCATTATTGCTTCTCACTTTGAATACTGAATCTAGTATGGGGTAGATCTACTCAAATTGAAAAAAACAAATTACAAGCGTACTGTACAAAATAGAGCGGCAAAAATTATTCTGAGAAAAAGAAAAGATGATTCAAGTGCTCAGGCCTTGCAGACCTTGAATTGGGAAAATTTAAAAGCAATTACCATGCATACAATTTTTTATAACATGGCCCCATCTTAATTGACTGAATGCTTTACATTTAAGGAACAAAATTATTTAACCAGAATAAAAGATGTCTTAAAGGTTTGCCCTCACACTGAATATAAAAAGAAAAGTTTATCTTACTGTGGTACTATTCTTTGGAACACACTGGATATAAAAAGAAAAGTTTATCTTACTGTGGTACTATTCTTTGGAACACACTGGATATAAAAAGAAAAGTTTATCTTACTCTGGTACTATTCTTTGGAACACACTGGATGAATGTGTTGAAAATTCATCAAATGTTAAAATATTTAAAACACTTTTGTAAAATTTGTGGTTTATGCTTCATTTTTATATCTCATATTTGTATATAATGTTGTCTTTATTGAGTCTCAGTAACATCAAATTATTTTTCACAATTGCATGAAAAATTTACACCCTCAACATTACACAAGTTAGATGAACTGAAAATGCACAGACCTCAGCAGGGTCTGTGTTCTATGGTAAAACACTGTGTGTGCGCTGAACCGTGGAGATCTCTAGGTCCTCGGTTCAATTCCCATCGCTGCCTCTCCTTGTGTTTCAGCTAGAGAGCTGAAATACAAGTTACAATAGCGCACCGTCTTTCGGATGAGACGTTTAAGCCGTTGGTCCCGTGTGCATTTATGACCCATGTGCACGTTAAAGAACACAGTACACTCTTCGGAAAAGAGTAGGGGATTGTCTCCCGGTGTACTGTCCAATCACCACCAGAAGGACCCCACTGGAAATAAGTCTTCTTCTAGACTTTCGTGGGTTATCCTTGGTGTTTACACCGAATAAATCCAATCCAACTATGTTATCTTAATTTATCTTTATTACTTCCGTATTCCAGGAATGGAAGCACCATTGTTGGATTTAATCTTAATTTCAATGACATTCCACCTCATCTCGATAAAGATGCTGGGTCAGAAGAACTCAGTAGCAAAATACAGAAAGATATAAGTCATGTGATTAGTGATGCTGTTTATGACACAAATTCTACAATAAAGTCAGATCTGAATGTCAAAGACCAATCAGTGATGGTTAATGAAGGTAACTTGGCTATTTTATTACTTATTTATTTATTACGGTATGAAAGATGAATGCATAAATACAAAAATGGTAGCATGAGGCAAAAAATTTCTGTATTGCAAAAAAATTGCACATTAATTAAAATACTTTTTAACAATTATTAATACTATAAAAATAGATCTAAATAAATTAAAATATTTAAATCATTTCGATTGAAAATGCTGTATGGTTTTTATAAATACTGAAATGGGTAAAGAAAGTAATTTACAGAAAGCAGCCCTCTTGCCAGGATTTTTTTAAAGAGTGGCGGAATTCCAGAAATTGTCCAAAAACTTATATATGTACACTTAACTTATGAAGAAACAGAAACAATTCATCAAAACTAATACCTACAAGATGGAGTCTGTTATATATACAAAGATGCATACACTAAGTGTTGATGTGGATAAAGATTTGAACACCCTTCTCCCCTCCCCTTCCCGAAAAAAAAAGCCTCCCATCATGGTTCAGTCTCCTATAAAGTTAGATGATATAATTTTGTAATCATGGTCGTGTGTATGTTTGCTGTTGTGTTAAATAATTGCTGCGAAGCAGCCAATTCATATTCTTGACAGCAATTTGACCTCTGAAAGGTCATTGTTTGTCAAAAACAAGGGCCTAAGACGACTGAAAAGCAGAGTTTCCTTCTTTCGTTCTGCCGGTAAAATCAATTACTTTAGGCGACGTTTGTAGAATAACCAACAGGTATCAACGTCCGCATGTCGCCCTAGCCTTATCCTACTTTAGGCTTAGACTAGCTAGGATGGTATAGGCCTAGCCTTGAAGGGACGAAGGTCCCGATGAAAAACAAGGTCGCTCCTTGAAAGCTAACATTGTCTATTTAACATCACAATAATTCATTATTAGACCTATATTTGTTTTTTGAATTGTACTCCACAAATCTCAGCCGATACCTCGCACAACTCGAGTAACGTCTCGTATCTATTGTCGTGATGTCATGGCTCTCTGGCTCACACTTGCGATGTCTCGCACTTGTGATCAAATAACACGCTGGCTCGTACTTTGGCAACACTCTTTGGCAGTCAACTCGCTCCTAGAAAACCCGCCCTTGGAAACTTGCCCCATAAAAAATGTACACTTCCTATGCAGTCTTCAAAATAAAAATTGTAACCTTTGGTAATCAACTACATTTTCCACATACATAGAAATTTTTGAAACTTTATTAAAAAAAAACCTAAACCATAATTCACCACTATAGACACTTTTTGACAAAAATGAAAAATTACTTTGTTACCCAATGAGAAGTGTTCTAATATAGACAATGGGTCGTGTCTCATATTATTTGTTATATTTTTACTATTCATTATTTTCACTGGACTCGCATAAATAATTTTGTTCGAAGAACATTTATATGCAGTTGTACTTCGCAGAACTTCATTTGCAATTTTTCAATTTCTAGTTAATATAATACTATACAGTAGAAGTGGTAATTATTAGTTGTGTAAAAAAAATTTTAAAAATAATATTATTAGGAACCAGCAACATACTGTTGTTCTGACTGCAGTCCATCATGTATAATATACGGTTATTTGCAGGAACAGCTGGAGAGAAAATAGGGTCATGATCCAGTGAACAATCTGGGTAATAATGCAATGTGCAAAGCAACGAGTCAGTGGGGATATATCATTTTCTTTTCTTACTTCGTCCTTAAACCATAAATGATATTTTTACCAAAATCTGATGATAGTTTTGATTTTAGTAGGGAGAACTAACACAACAATTTAGCCTCCTGCGTGTGTTACGTATTTAGTGATCATAAGCTCAATAAGATCGGGACTATGCTAAAGATGCTTCGATATTATAACTGTCTCCAAAATAGAGATCGTAACCTTGAGGGTACAGTGAAGTAGGTCAATGTTACAGGCTTGCCTAAATATAAAGTTAAACTAGCCTGTGCCGAATATTTTTTGGTTATGCTCGTGCACGGCTGGTTGCTCACAATTTTCTAGGCGGTACTATCTAGGCCTACAGGTCCTCCCTAAAGTTTAACGCCATGTCCTCCGAATCGAACATGTATATACAGATACAAGATGAGACTTAAAATAGCAAATTACGATTGAAAAAAAGGGGGTCGCCTTATATGTACATACATATTTTAGATTTATTATTGTTCGTCTCCGTTTATAGGCAGCTAGATGCAGTATCAAGACCATAAAAAGCAGAAAAATTAGGAATTCCTACAATGCAGCAGGGGGTCGTATACGGCCGACATCCGAACATCTAAAACTCGGGGGTTGTCTTATACAAGGGTTGCTGTATACGCGAGTATAATGCTATCTTGAGGTCAAGCGTGACGCGCAACCATTAGGAGAACTTGAGCATTGCTTGAAGATCCTATAACATTTTCTTCCATTATAATTATTCAAGTATCATATCTTTAGTACTTATATACTTGATAGTATTTTCATTATTGACACTGCTTTTTTAATTTAAAGTACATGTAGGTATTCAACCTGTTACAATGGCAAACACAATTACATCTAAGGCAGCCATACCAACAACGTCATCTGTTTTCAGGTCTACGAAACTGAAAGGTGTGTTGTCTACACTAACGACAACCATTTCAGAATCTGATTCTACCCATTCATCTAAAACAGAGTTTCTATCAACATTTGTCAGCACTCCATTAAAAGTATCAACCAAACCTCAGATTGTATCTACAATATCACAAGCAGAACTGATGACGACAGAAACAATGACAACAGCTTCAACGATGACAACAGCTTCAGTAATGACGACTGTTTCAAGTGAAATGAAAGAAACTACTGAAACAACAACAGCAAATAGTCAGACTGCATTACAGCTTACATCCACTCCCACAACAAGAACTTTAACATCTATGCAAGGAACAATCACTAATTCATTGGATAAGCAAACCACAATTGTTGATACATCAATTGTTAATGAATTAACCTCTGAACTAATGGAAGGTCAAACAACAATTAGTGGGACTACAAACACTCTTGAAGAAATTCAACCTACTACTATCGTAGAAAAAACAACCCTACAGACTAATGAAGTACTTACAACAGAGCAACCAACAGAGCAATTTACAACACAGCAATTCTCAACAGAAAATCTCTCAACAGAAAAGGTAACAACAGAGCAGTTCACAACACAGAAATATACAACCGTGCATTTCAGAACAGAACAGGACACTACGTCACCTCTTGAAGAGTTGACCCAGTTTCCAGCTAATTCCTCAGCTGCAATACACGTCCGTGGGTCCATGTTGCTAAATGAATCCTTTCCAGAATCTCTAAATAACAGGAATTCCACCGATTACATATCCTTAGCAGGAGCTATTGGCATTGGGGTATGTAAACTATTTCACTTCAAAATCAATTTACATTTACCAATTGTTTCTTGAAATTTCTTTGTTTTTTCTGATAACTAGGTTTTCTGCTGTTTTAACTTAAAGAGTATTGAGATTTTCTTTCATCATCATCATTGTCATCATCAATATCAATATCATCATTGTCATCAATATCAATCTCATTGTCATCATTGTTATCATCGTTATTATTATGAGGGGCGCCACCGTTTTTCGATCGCAGTTTTTTTAGCACCTACAGGACAAATTTGTGTTTCTTTGTTTGAGCCATCTAGGCAGAGGTCAGGAATTTGCGCCAGGATGGGGTGAATGACCCATTAGATTTTTTTCACAGATTTGCCTTTTCCCATTTTTATTGGCCTACTGTATCTGATATACCAAGAAAAATTATGCATGGTTTATTTTGGATTTATAAAGAATTTGTTTTTGCTGAAAGAGGTCAAATATATATTTTCTAATTTAGGTTGGGGTTTCAGCATGGGAAAGTCATTGTAAAAAGTAAATACAGTGAACATCTTCTTTGAGACACCCCTATTAAGGGGACACATTTTCGGCTGCAAAAAGAGGGAAAGTATATCTTTTAACACTATGGCCAATCCCTATTCTGGGGACATCCTTATTAAAGGGACACTTTTATTTGGTCCCAAAGGTGTTCCCTTAGTAGGTGGAACAAACATAGATATACTTTAAATTGAATTTTGTACGATAATACATTTTTTCATTGGTTTCACTATGAACTTTGTTAACTACTCCATTTAGATTGACTGTTCCTTACTGCACAGCAATTTGAAACCTGTTTATGCAGGGAACGATATTACACAATTCAAGTAAGTGAATCCATTAGAGGCTGTAAACGAAAATCATTTCTATTTATTTAATCAACTAAGTTGTATTGAAACAAAGGAATGTTTGTGACCCAATTTTTGAAATCATAAATTATTGTTACAAATACACTTAGGCCTATTAGTCGGTTACAGTAGTTAGTTTTCCATCAGAACCCTGTGATTTGGATTAATCTTAGCATGGAGGAAATAATTAAGGAGGAGATTGTTTGCAGTTAGGATTAAACAGACACAGTGACATACCGACAGTCATACAAAGTTAATTAGTTATTGTGATAACAGAAGATTGACACTTTCGTAATCTGTTATTTTTGCATGTATTCATGCTCAAATACAGGTGAGCAGACCCAGGCCATGCAGTATAGCCTGGCCTAGGAAATTTCCTAGTTAAAAAAGACTCAATAAAAAGACCATGTTTTAAACATGGAATAAGGTAGACATTCAACACAGACTACAATTAAAGCATTATTTCCGTACGATATTACTGTGGCGGACCAGCAATTTGAAGATAGAAGAGGGGGAGGGGCGGCAGGAGGGACTTTTACAGACCAGGAAAATTTATGATTATAGCACCTCTAGTTGGCTGGAAATGACACTCTCAGACTTAAATTTGAATATGATTTTCTTTTTTTCTCCACTTTTAAATTTTGAAAAATTGCACTCTCATACCTTAAATTTTACCGGTAATTCTTATCAACAATACAAGACAACAATTATTCTTCTTAATACAATTTAAGGGGACAACAATTCTTCTTCGTAATACAATTTAAGTGGGTGCGATCGCACCGTCCCCTGCATCCGCCCCAGCATCATTGCGAGATTGCGTCAACGAAACGTGCTCTCACAATAAATTTAGCCTCTGATAATCGTTGCACCCATAAATCGATGGAGTGCTTACTGAGATGGTTACGAATTGTACAAACAATTGCGTTTGTACTCACAAACATTCCTTTGTACTTGTTCGCACTTGGAAAAGAGCACAAGTGAACAGACAAAAATTCATGACAGTCATTCTTAATTGTTGTTGTTCTTTCCACTTGCTTTGGAAAGTGGTGTTTTAACAATAGAACATTGTTTAAAAGTGTGGAGGTGGGGGAACTATTGATACGATCCCCCCAACTTTTCAAAGTGGGGGAACATGTCCACCTGTAACCACCGATCGGCGCCCATGGTCGGTGCTTGCACAAAGACAACTGCAACTGATAACAGATGTTCAGCGTAATGTTGTAGAATAAGCATTTTCATGCTGTTTATTGAATTAAAATTAAGCGATAAGAGCAAACCATCTCCTTCCTAATTATTTTCTCTATGATTGTTAGTGTGATTCAGTGGATTTGTTCATTATTTGTTAACAGTAACCATATTTTGTTGTGTTTTAGACCTGGTTCAATCATTGCTATGTTCACTGTTTATATATCAAGCGCACCATCTGGATTTAACAGAACTACAAGCCTGTCTGAATACTTAATCAATAACATTGAGGATATAATAAAAGAAAGTATCAATGGTGGTATTTTTGGAAACTTGAATATAATAAAGGATAGTGTTACAATATATGAAGGTAAATACCATATATATCAAATTATGTTTTATTGTAGATACCCAATATACTAATATAGATTATGAAGGTGGTAATTAACTGTACAGTTAAAAAGAATATTTTTGTTAGTAAATCATTTTAAAACTGTTTATATTAGTAGATTCTTTGATATGAGATGATATTTGGTTTCAAACTCTTGCCCTGTCAACTCATAATGAATTCTCTGTGGAAAACCTGTCACCTCTCTCTGAAGGCGAGTATCATACAGATGCCATTAGACCACATAGATCTCTATATGGTATAATGTAATCTCCAGGCACCTTCTCTCCTACAACTGACTAAAACACTCACACATATATGTGAATACCTTTCTTATATTTTCTACATTTTAGTCTACAACTCTGCAGAAGTTCCATACAAGTGCCAGAATATCACATCAGACTGTTGTAAGAATCTTCCATACCAATCTGCCACCTTTCCAAATTCTTTTGCTAATTCTCCAGAGGAAGCAGAAAAAATTCTAAATGTTTTGAATGGGTCATGTCATACTAATACTGCCTTGTACTTGTGCAGCATTGTGTATCCGCACTGTCCATCTGTTGATGCAGAAATGTTGCTGCCATGTCAGTCATTTTGTGAGGATTTTGTGGCAGTGTTTAACAGTGAGACGTTGCTGGAACTTGAGTCTGAAACAGGATCCCAAATATCAAACTGCACTTACCTAAATGAACCAAGCCCTGAACAACCATGCTTTACATTTGGCGGTCGGATTCTAACACAGTCGTCAGGTAATATAATGAAATGACAAATGTTGATACAGTAATGGTGATACAATAATGATAATTTATAATTATAATTAATAACAATGATTACAGTAATAATCATAATGATGGTAGGGGTGATAATGATATTGATTATGCAGAATCCAATTTTTAGGCTCAAATTCTGCCCCTGTGCATTTGGGGCTTGATCCCTCCTTCATTCAACCAATTCTTTTGGGCTGTGTAGGCCCTTCTTAAGAATATTTTTTATACATTAATCTAACCCTCATATAATAACTTCCGCTAGTGTATGATACTCAACTTTTCTAATTGCTTATACAATTTCATAGTTTATGTTGTCCTACCTTATTTAATATCGAATAAATATTATTGTGTAATGTTTGCTGTTTCAATTATAGCTGCATTTAATCAAGAGATATGTAGCACACAGCCACTACATTCTCCCGCTAGAGCAAGAGTAGTTGGTGGCCAGGATGCAACATTAGGAGAATGGCCTTGGATGATATCGCTACAACGTTTTACTTCTCATCAATGTGGGGCAGTTTTAATTGCTCCGCAATATGCTTTGACTGCTGCACATTGTCTGTGAGTATCTCAATATTGTTTCCTATTTTTATCCTCATTTATTTTAGTTGTTAGCTTTGCAGCAAATCAACTTTTTATTTACTGCTGTCCACACTTGCATTCTTGTATCAATTGGCAATGCCTATTCCCTACACCATATGTCAATGATATAATATGCCTATGATTTAGGCTTTAAGTTGAAGTTTTCCACCCAATCTAAAGCTATTACATGGCCCTCCACCCACCCTTATTAACCCACTTTTCCATCCTTATATTCCACTCTTATTATTTAGAGGTTACCAATGCAGCCACCCTAAAAATGTCTCTCACTCACCCTTCGCTTTCTTCAGCAACAACACTGCTACACGTGCTTGTAATTTTTTTGTGTTAAATTATATGAATATGTTTTATACCGGATTGGTCTACTTCGTGAATACTTACATGGATAAATCGGCTAATTGACTCACCAAAAGAGAGAACACCCCTCAAAAATAAAAATGGTAAAGTCGGCCCTGGTGCCAAGCAGAAGCAATCTCAACCATGCGTTATCCTCATTCTCTTTTGAGAGATCGTGAAGTTCATGTTGATAAAATAAGAGTCTCTCTTTTATTTTAAGTGTTTAAGCTGTTGAATGCAGCCCTTGAATTCAATATTTCTTGGATATATATTGTACTTTGGAGTATGAAGCTTGTGTGTTAAAAGCCAAGCATGCCGAACTTGAAATGTTCACAATGTCAGAGCCCTAAACCAAGCCCCAAGGGTCACCCTGTATAAACATGGTTTTAAAAAGGTGGACAACCACTAAGATATGTGTCGACGTGCTCGTCCTTGTAGTTTTGCCCTACGAGATATGTGGGAGTGGGCCTCCATCTCGTTTCGTTGCCATTCAGGTGTGGCTGGCGTGGTGCCGGATGCGCCGACTCCTAAAGTGGACTTTGTCTGTGCCATGTCACCAACCTGTTTTAGCCACGTCTGCTATATCCACAGGTTCTCCTCCGGGGCCTTCCCATGATTTCCGGGTTTGGCTTATCTCCCGAAGTATTGGCGGTCATAACAGTAGTGAAAGTGCATTGTCTGTGACTTTCTGTTGAACTTCACCTTCCATGCCGCCACCATCGGCCGCATTCATTCCTCTGGAGCAATTGCTTTGTGTTAATTAAATTGTACGAATATGTGTTTTACAGTGGATTGTTTAACAGGCTGGAATTGGGTACTGTCTTCTTATCTTCAACTACATCTCCTGGAGAACAGAGGATTGAAGTAGAAGAAACATTTGCCTATCCTGAGTACGATCCGCTTACGCTTGTAAACGATATTGCAATCATCAAACTAAAGGAACAAGTTGAATACACAGACTATGTGAGACCTGTTTGTGTCTCTACCAATACATCACAATTTCAGGCCAACCAACGATGTTATGTAACTGGATGGGGTGATACTACAGGAAATGGTATGTTTACATTTGAATTGGTTTGGTTGATTGAATATTTGATTACATTTAGGATCTGATTGCTGCACAATAACCACTAACAGACACAAAGATAATTACAGTATTTAATAATTTCATTACATCGCCATTTTCTGAAATGGTATTTATCATTTAGTATGTTTGAATGAAAGCATTTTAAGTACAGTTACATGCCTATTGTAATGTTACATTTACTTAGTTTTTGACTTACTGTTGTCAGAAATTACTTGAGTATTAAATATACTTTTTATCCAGGTAAATTGCCAGACACTCTTCAAGAAGTTTCCCTTCCTTTAGTGGACATAAACACTTGCGCATCGCGCTACACTGTCTATGGTGTGACCGTAGATGAAAATGTAGTGTGTGCTGGATATCTGGAAGGAGGCAAAGATGCTTGTCAGGTGATTTGTTGATATCTATATAGACTACCATAATTGTATATGTTCATTTCGTAATAAATACTAACGTAACTATAAATAATTTCATTATTTTCAAAGAATATTAAACATTTATCAATGTTGATTTTTTTAATCTTCTACATCTGCCCATTGAGCAATACTTATTAAATTGTCATTTAAGCAACTTTCATTACTATTTCTATTATTACCAATTCCATACAGACATGCATCATCATCATAAAAACTTACATGATATCATGTAATATCATTTACATACTAAGAATAGAAACAGACCAAAATTTATTCTTGAGGAACACCTGTTATTATTAGTCTGTCTCTTTTCCCTTTTCCAATTCTTGGTTGCCATTCCATCACTTCTTTTGGTCCAACTTGAATGGTTCATTCTTGCCACATGTCTGATTTATCTCAGTTTTGCCTTTGTTATCTTGACTATATGGACAATTCCACAGTAACTAAATACAATCTGACACAGATTTGTTTTTACAAAGGACAACATAAACTATTAGTACTACAAGGTACTTTTGTTAAAAAAAACCTTACTGTATATACAGAGTGAGTTTTTTTTGTTTTGAAAATCACTTTCTGTTATTAAAAAAATTATATTAATATGAGAGGGAACTAAATGACGGAAATCTGACATTTATTATACATTTCATAAATAATCTTTGAATTTAAAGGCCATATTTTATTTATTGCTTGCACAGAATTAAGAATTTACGAAATATTTTGAGTTCTCTTTAAAGAAAAGTCCTGGATCTTTTGTTTGTTTTTTCATTTCTATTTATATCATTACAAATAGTGTAATATTTTACCAAAATTGTTGCATAGGAGTATCAACTCTCACAGAGGTCTGGTTTATATCATTCTTGTGTCCTTTGTTGTGAAGGAGAATGATTTTTGCTTGATTCCGGGTATTTGGTATCTTATTCTCCTTTAAGAATTTGATTGTATAATTCAATCACCATTTGGCCTACAAACACAACAAAATGATGTATTTTTTGGTATACATCATGAATAGAGTGGTCTAGTTTTACCCAATTATATTATGGTAATTGTGAATGTTTCTTTCAAAGGGAGATAGTGGTGGTCCACTTGTTTGCCAAGACTCTGCTGGTATTTGGCAGCTTTATGGGCTAGTTAGCAATGGCGTAAGCTGTGCACTACCAGATCAACCTGGAATTTATACTCGAGTACCCGCATATTTGGATTTTATAAATCTTGTTCTTGGTGGGGGTAAGTTCTATATTACTTTCATATTATGCATGGGCAAAGTCCCCAGAGGCTTATTTAATTTATTTTACAGTCTTATATAATATATAAATTTTGTTCTTTTTTATGTTTTTAATTGTATTTTTTATGTGTTCTATACTATATATTCTTGATCATTTTAATTGTGTTTACTAACAATCAATTGTCTAGTCAGGTGTTGAGTACACTATAGGAAATAGAAGCCAAAGGAGCCATTATTTCTTGCACAAATTTTTGGGTTTTTGACTTTTTTTTTTTAATTGTATATTTTATATTTCTTACTGTATGTTATCAATAGTTTTTCAATTTTTCTGATGTTTTTAATATGAATTGTAAAATTGGGTACTCCAAATCTGCTTTTAAGCTGCTATTGTACAAATAATTTTAAATAAAATAAATTAAATACATAGTAATAAAATATTAAAATAATAGGACTTTCTTGTCCCCGATGAAATTATCCCAACTATGGGATGGGTAGTTAGGTGGGGTAGTTCTCTCCAGTGAGGAGCTCTGCCCACCTGGTACAACTACTGACAGTCATGAAGACTGTTTTATATACTTTCTGCACCATGATAAAATGTGCAATTATCTTACAATGTGTTTGCAAGCCTCTATAGAAAGTGTTAACTTCTTTAGATTTACCTTGTACAGTAATCAGGGTCATATTTTTGTGCTACTTTTTATAATGTCATTATTTTGTAAATTGTTTTTTCTCCTCTATGTATTTGATGACTACGAAAATATATTCAAATCAAATCAAATCTCCATTCTTTGCAACCGCTTGATGGTGCGATTCACTCTGCACTTTCAGGTAATATATTCCAATGTACTAACATAAAGACCTTTTTTTCCAAAATAGGTACTCCTAAATACAGATCATGTAATCAAAATGAGTTCCAATGTTTACATGGAACTTGCATCAATAAAGACTGGCAGTGTGATGGACACAATGACTGTAGAGATAACTCTGATGAACTTAACTGTGGTAAGTAGTGAAAAGTATAAAAAATGGAATGATAGATTGAAAAAATTAAAATACTAGAAAGAAAACAAAAAAATTGAAAAGGAATACTGTTTGTCAGCTGCCTTGACAGTGAGAAATTACAGGTAAATTTCAGCTGTAAGCACCTATTCTTAGATAGGGAACTTTTGAGTTCCAGGGTTCCATACAATTAATTTGGTGATACATTTTTGTGTATAGGGTGTTTAGCTAATCAATTTGACTGTGGTGATGGGGTATGTATCGTGATATCCTATTATTGTGATACTATTGCTGATTGTCGAAATGGAGCAGATGAACTAAACTGTCCAGATAGCATCACAGAAGTCCCAGGTAAGATTAGGTAAAGTTAATGGGAAAAGATTAACCAATAACTTGCATAGTCATGTGCTAAATTGAATATGAGTCTGGCCTATGAATAGTCGCAGCCATAGAGATGCGCTTAGTACAGTAGTTTCATGTTCACATCATTTTGATTTTTTATTTCATTTTTGCCATTATTCCAAACTTGGAATTTAACATTTTGTGCTGGGCTTTAGGGAACCGCGGCGGCCATAGTGCGGCACCAGTAGGCAGATGATTCCTATCCCACCTAACTCTAATGTGAGGGTTGCTCAAGGAGCCGAGTGATTAATTCTAATTCAAATTTGACACTAGCCGGTGATAAAACTAACTAAATATACACTGCTCTAACAGCCTAAAAAAATATGTTGGAGACCTGTGCAAAGTAGAACGTTCTTCTGGTCGAATGAACTCACTGAATTTTTCTTGAGGACCTGTGACGACCATAGTGCGGCATCAGTAGCAGATGATGCCTATTAATTCTCATTTGAGGGTTGCTCAAGGAGCCGAGTGAACTTCAATTAAAATCTGATGCTAGCTGGTGACCACCATCATGTTGGGCTTTGCCCATGTCTCACACTAGACACTCTCTGTGTCATTTCATTCATTGTTCATGATTCTTGTGTTGAATTGATTGTAAAATATTGAATGTACATTGCCTTTGCTCCAAAAATTGATAGCGATTGGTTAGACTTGTAATTTTAATTTTCCTTAAAATTGATAGCATTCTTTAGTAGCTAGGCATATTTAACAATTTCAATTATCTTTCTCAAACAGGTCTTTGTAGAGAGAATACGTTTATGTGTAATGATGGGAGCTGCATTGAAGGAAGCTACAAATGTGACAATGATCCTGATTGTCAAGATGGCTCTGATGAGACAGATTGTCTGCAAATGACTGGTAAACATAAGTTTTATGGTTATATTTTGGTTTCTTAAACTGTAAACAGAGGGCAAATATTATGGTATCAAATCTACTAATTATCAATCTTGAAAAGCTAGTATTTTTGACTATTTTATAAGTATTTTAAACTTAAATATTTGAATAGTTTCATCTGGTTTGCTTTATTACTCATTATTGTTGTAGAGATACATGTATTTAAAAAGAAATGCCAACCATAGATTTATGTTATGTTGGTTCAGTCAGGCTTCAGCAAAATAAAGTTATTTTTTTTATTTGAGATAATTAAAATCAAATATTTATGTAGGTAGGTTTATATATCAGGATTATTTTAAATGCAAATCAACATACAGTAATAACAAAAGCCAGTATCTAGCAGTTTTGCCACAAAATGTATTACTGGTTTTCACCACTACTTTTAGTAGTAAGCCAGTTTATATTAAGCCAGTTTATATTATTTTTTTATTTGATTTATTTTTCTTTAGGCATGTCATCCACCAAGGATTCCAATAGCGGATATATCACTGTTCTATTGGTGACAACCCTTTTTTACAATGCTTTACACAAACTAAATCTCAATATAAAGCCTGGGGAGTGGAGAGTTTTTTCGTTGTGGAAAAATTAGAATTGGGATCTTAACCACCAAGCTATTCAAATCCACTCAATATCTAATATGCAAATTTAAATGTTTTGGTCAAATTAAATACATATTAGGCAGTCTTTAAAATGAAAATAACAAATTTTGTGTTTCTTTGTAGAAGAGCCAGTAGTTTCACCCCAATGTTACAACATTACTAGTGTGATATGTGGTGATATCCTTATCTCACATAAGGCTCTATTCCCAAACACATATGCAAACAACCCACAACAGGCTGAAGAATTGCTAAACGAGTTTAGAAATGAAGCAAGCTGCCACCAGGATTCAATGAGGTACGTTTGAAAAAAACATAAGTTTCTTTGATATTAAATAGTAAAAATAAATTTTTTGTAAAAGTTCTCTGTTCATTAATTTATTCCATCAAGAATTAGCATATAGTACATAAAATCTATTAGTGATTTTGAATGATATTGATAGTTTTAAATCTAGAATTAAACTGTTAAAATTCTATAATAATATTTTAAGAAATGGGTTGTTAAAACTATGTTTACACAGACTAAGACCTTGATAAAATTGTTTTAAGAAATATTTTTAAGCGTTAATATTTGATATTTTAAAATTTTAAACAATCATATTTATATACAAAGCAGCTGTTACTGTGATGAATATATACTGTTCTATTCTGTTATCTGATGAATCTTCTTATCTGCATACTGGTATTCTTTACTGATTAATAGTACAGTTGAGTCCGCCAAATTCGACTCTGTTTAAGTCGAAAATTCGCGTCTGTCGAATTTTTGAAAAAGTCCCAATTCTTTCCTATGTATTACTGTGTAAATTGTTTGTTTAATTCGAATTTTTATAAGTCGAATTTCGGCTATATCGACGGAATTTTCCTGTCCGGATAGGCCGATTTTAATGTAATTTTAACCACACAAGTCGAAGTTCCAAATTTAGTAGCCCACGTGGGAAAAATACACAGCCGTGGGAAAATACGAAGTTCAATCCTTGTTGTACGGCAACAAGTTAGCCATGTCAAACTAACATCTCGGACAGCGCGCTCTGGAACTTGGCTCACATGATCGTATGTCGTAAGTTGCAGTCTACTGTCATAAAACAGACACCCCTCCGGACCGGCTCCAATGTTCAGTTTTTCGTCCAGTTTAGTTTGTAAAACTTGTACTGAACCCATTTCGAACAAGATTGTTGTAGTCAGGGCCTAGCTATTTAATTAATATATCAAAGCCCTGGATTCTTTTGACTGCCTAGCCTACGCAAATTCAACACATTATTTAATAATACGTCAGTACCTGTTGTTTTGCTGTACTGCTCAGCAAATTTAATTATTACCAATAAAACTGATGCGACTTTTATTTCGTTTTTGCGTGCATTTCTTTAGGTCTGATTATGTTTTTCCAAGCACACATTCTTCGTTGGGCAATGCCACTTGCAAATCGCCCAAAATTTCATTGTGCGTGACAGTAACAAGCTTGGTGTAATCAAGAATGTTTTACTTAAACAAATTTATAAAACAAAACAAATAAGAAACCCTCATGGTATATTTTAGAGTCAAATCTAAATAACCCTAACAAATTATATTTTATTTACAAATTTCCACCGTAATTAAATTAGCAACATGTTTTGAAAAGCGTCTTGAGTTTAAAGAATGAAGTGCATTTGAAATTTACACCGACAAATCTAACGAATTTGAATTAGACGTCTACTGAAAAGAGTAACCAGTAGAAACTTGCTTTGTTAAGTTCCCTCTTTATTGCAGGTTGATTCCAAATGGTTTTTAAGGATTAAAAGCAAGAATATACACCTATTAAAACATTGGAATGCGTAAATTTCACTTCATAATTAACCAAGAAAACGTCTACTGGTGTGTCGTGTTAATCAACAGATAATCTCCATGGCAATGCGAGTATAGCTAAGCGTCTCATTTTCACAGCGTCTGGTATGCTCGTTGTTAAACGATGTCTATTAAACTATTGTCTGGTTTTTAGAGTGGGTGTTACCGTCCTGAATTGGACAAATCGTCCGAGATTTGGAATAGGGAGTTCATGTTTTCGGAAAGTACCGGTATTTTATTAAAAGAAGAATAGGAATGAGTTTGGGACTTAAGAAAATGTTCGGTTTTGCGTGAAATTCGATTTTGTGGGCATTGAGTACACATAGTATTGTTCTATGTTAATATTTTTTTCCTGAAAATGTGCAAGTCGAAATCTGTATAACTCGAACTTTTTATGCCAGTCCCATTAGATTCGACTTAGGCGAACTCGACTGTAGTAGTAATAATCATAATGTAGTAATAAATATCATAATGTTAATAATAATAATATTTAATAATAAAATGAATACTAAATGATGATTATGGGTTTGATGTTCTCTTTCGTTCCCTTTTTACTGTAGGTGTGTAATTGTTTTCTGAACTTGATTATAAATAAATTTATCAAAAAAGGATACAATTAAAGGTGGCTAACACCACTTCCTAATACTATTAATCAAATTGATTCTGAATAGGGACTCGTTGTATTTTATAGACTTGTTTGTGCACTTGTGTATCAAGGGTGTGAAGATGATGATGAAGCTCCAGTGCACCCATGTGATGCAATGTGCGAGGATGTACTTTCAACGTGTTCTCAATCCTTTCAAGCTATAACACAGAATAACAACCTTTTTGAAATTTCTTGTTTGGCCTTACCAGATACAAACTGCTTATCTGCACCAGGTATTATACCATCAATACTGACAAAGTATTTCCAATTGAAAAATTGGCATTTTAATCTCTTAAAATTGGATTTTTAATTTTGGGAGTTTAGTTAATCTATGTCTTTAGACTAAGAATGTTATTATTCTGCATGTTAATCACACTAGTTGTATGTATGTTGGGTTAGTGCCATGCAGTGCTTTAATCTGCGATGCTGTGAGTTGGTCTAAAAATTTTAATGTTTGCATTTAACATATTGTGGTTAAAAAAAAAACATGTTACTGTAAATAGACACTATACAAAAATAGGAAAATAAGAATTCAATAATATACATATTTATATTTATTTAATAAAATACATTTCAGTCCACATACCCAGTATAAAATATGTAGTGTACAATTAGGCATATATTTTGATTTACTGATTGTTTATCTTTACCTTTTATAAGGTGTTGTAGTGGTTTTCTATGTTCAAACAATCATTGTATATGAAGCAGCTATTATTGTAATGTTACTGTAAATAAACACTACAAAAAATAGGAAAATAAGAATTCAATAATATACATATTTATATTTATTTAATAAAATATATTTCAGTGCAAATACCCAGTATAAAATAAGTAGTGTACAATTAGGCATATGTTTTGATTTACTGATTGTTTGTCTTTACATTTTATAGGGTATTGCAGTGGTTTTCTATGTTCTAACAATCATTGTATACGGAGCAGCTATTACTGTGATGAGTATAATGACTGTTCTGATTTATCTGATGAATCTTTCTGCAAAAATACAGGTATGCATTACTGATTAGTAGAAGTAGTGGAAAAACTTATTTTAGATAACCTATTTTAGATAAAAGGTAAAGTCTAGTTTCATCACATATTTGTCCTGGGAAAATTAAAAAGTGTTATGTACATTATTTGCATTTAAGAAAAAAAGAAAAGATTTTTTGTGGTGTATCTGTGTGCTTGTGGGATGTGTGCAATATTTTATGTACCTCCAGCCCTTTTTCTTGACATGAAAACGGCAATAATTGACACTAGTCAATCAAATAATTTTAATCGAAAAAACTCAGAAAATATAACACAATCACTCACAATGTGTTTGCATGAGAAGTCAGATTGGAAAAATATTTGTATTGGTATTCCGCATGGATCCACACTGGGACCACTGCTTTTTACAATTTATGTTTAATTCTCTTCCAAACGGTATTCATGTTAATCTGTTATGTGCACTGATAAAACCACTCTTCTGTGTAGTTCATCAGACCCAATTACACTTCAGAATAAATTGAAACTTAATCTAATGAAAATCATCTGACATTAAATATTAAAATAATAAATTTATGATTTTTGGAACAACACATAATATGGTAATAACATTGATGAAAGAGTTTATTCTTTTAAATACTTGAGTGTTACTTGGAACAAACACATTGATAGCATAAATGTTTCTAACAGGTGTCATATCCATCATATCAGATATTTTGTGCCACAATTTATTATTTACTTTTGTTTTACCTTTATTTAATTATTGTTCTTATGTAGGGTTCAATTGCTTCACTCAATTATTTAATAGTCTACTATACAAGTTCTTTTAAACACCTTAGAAGTTACTTTATTGTGATATTAGAACACTGATTAATGATATTTTGAGCTTGTTGAACTGGCCAACTCTGAATAATAGATGGAGAGATAAATTATTATTCATAACTTTTAAATCCCTCCAAGGACTTGTACATCCCTATTCAATTAATATGTTTGTTTTTCTCGAAAATAATCATCTTTTAGTGTGAGGGAAGTATGTCCAGGAAAATGGACCAATTATTATTAAGCACCTATGAACTGGAACCTAACTTGTAACAGGATTTCCTGAATTTCAGGCGATATACTTATATTTTTAAAAATGTGTATGCAAGTTTGTAGACAAATGATGCACATTTGGCTCATATTCTTGGTAATCAATGCACACAGTTTAATATGAATGACAGTTCCACTCAGCTGTGATTCTTGGTAATCAATGCACACAGTTTAATATGCATGAGAGTTGCACTCAGCTGTGATTCTTTATTAACAAGCAAATTTGCAAACAATGTACACGAAAATGACGTTTTAAAAAGTTTTACAAACATTTTTTTTACTGGTCCTGTTTTTAAGTTTTTTGGGCAGTAGAAAAAATCCTTTGTAAGCATAGAATCTGTAGAGGTCTGGTTTTAAATATTTATCAATATTGAATTTGAGTTTGTTAAAACCTAAATGTACAAATGTATGTTCTTTTTGCAGATATGCCATCATACTTATGTCACCCTATAAATGTTACAAGCTGTGGCAGTTACTTACCTTATACCTATGCTGCATTTCCAAATGCTTACGCTCAATCAATTGAACTTGCGGATCAAGTGATTAATCGACTGCTCTCTTGTGCATCCTGTCATGATAATATGATGTCTTTAATGTGCAACTTATTGTTCCCTGAATGTGATGGCTACGAATATGAACCCTGTATTAACCATTGTACTGATGTCATCAGTTCTTGTCAAGATGCATTTATAACTTTACAGCTTGAGTTAAATTTTACAGAACCAATCTCATGCGAAAATTTACCAGTGACTAGATGTTTAGCTGCTGGTGGAAGTAAGATCACTTGTCTTTATGTTACAATTAACAGGCCTCGAATTTGGGGATTTTATGGGCAAGGCCAAATGGCCTCTGGTATGACATGATTTTGAAAGGCACCAAGGCCAAATGGAAAGGCACCAAGGCCAAAATTTCAAATATAAAAGGGCACCCAAGGCAAAATTTGATTTAGCCTCAGTACTAATTTCTCGTGAGTGCCTTGATTCGTCGTAGCCAGGCTAGGCAAGCTAGGCCTAGACCAAGCCAAGTTAGGCCTAGCCAAGCCATAGATGTCAATGGTAATATGACTTTGTTTAGAGTATTAACTATTAATTATCGATTCAATGTTGGAATATACTGCGGCGGTCAGCGATCGTATAAAACAGTCAAATTTCAAGAAGTTCGATATCTTTGTGTTGTTGCTCAGTCTGTCGTCATCGGAGAACTGGCTGCAAAAGCTGTGATGACGTAAGATCGCCCAAAGTTAGCTGTGCAGCAAGCACATGTTTACAACTATACAAAGGCCGTATTCGACTGGTCGTTCTTCGTTAAACCACGCCCACCTGCGCAGCAGTAACATCCTACTCAACGAAAACGACCAGTCGAATAGAAAACTTGTAAATACTTGACAAAACAAAATGGCTGTATAGTTACCGCGATACACGTTGCGTAATCAAGATTGCTTCAACTTGTGGTAGTATGGGTTTTTCATTCCAGTTGATTAACTAAAGAAAAGAAAATTCACAGTACAATGATTGTGTCTGAAGAAATGGTATTATGAGTTTACTATTTTGGTAGACATTCCTCGAAAGAAATTAAAATGTCTTAAATTATTTGAGAGAACACTGTAATCACATTTTTGGTGTTGGTACATACAGGTGAAATCAAGTGATGATTTCATCATCTGTGCCTAGGTTAGGCTTACTTATTCAATTAAGTTCATTCCTTGCGTCTTTCAATTGGCCTTTCGCACATGAACCTAAAGAAGATCAAGCAAACTGAGGTCTGTCTCTTATACACATCTAGATGTGTATAAGAGACAGCTGCTAAACAATGTATAAATCTCATTTATTTAACATTAACATCAAATGACATATACAATTTGCAATATTATTATTATTATTTTGTAATTCCTTGTATTTGCAATTTTGTATTTTCTTGTTTGTGCCTTTGGGAAAAAAATTTTTTAGTTGAATTGAATTGTTGAATTGAATAATAAGCAATTAGAATAGTTGTGTAACATACACTATGGGGAATTATTATACGAAGGTTAGATTAATGCAAGAAACGAATTTTTTGAATGCATTAATCTAACCTAAGTACAGTAGAACCTCGATTTTACGTACAGTACGGGACCGGAGGTTGAGGTTGGGTTAAATTTGTGGTAACCTTTGACCTACTGCGTACGTAACGCTCAATAAACGTATGTTATGAACGAACGATGTTACCTAAGCTAGACCAAGCCTCTAGGCCTACGAATAAAACCATGTGTTTAGTGTTTTTATTCATCACTTTACGATGTCATAATAAAGTGTTTAAATAAAAACCATGTTTCTAGTTAATTATTAATTATTTAATTCATCACTTTATATCTTTTATTTAACTAAAGAAAATGAAAATATTGTAAGATTACCTATATGACAAAGGTATAAATTGGGAATTCCCCTTCATGGCTATTCTAAACAACAGAGCTGTGGTGCTGTCTGAGCCTGCTGAGACAAACTAAAACCATGTGCGCTGCACTGGGCGAGCTAACCAATTAGCGTTCCTGTACGTGAAACAGAAACCATGTGCACTGCACTGGGCGAGCCAACCAATTAGTGTTCGTGTACGAAACTATGCCTACTCAGCGTTGTGTAGAAAATTGAGTTTTCCACACAAAGCTAAGGGAGGAAAGTACAGTAATTATTTTGACCTTCGGTAGTTGTTCATTTCACTCAGTTCACATGGTTTTAGATTATAACAACCCGGTATTAGACTCAATCAACATTTCTGTAAAAACAAGGTTTTACTGTATAATCATTTCCACATAGTGTATGGATAAGCACTATTCTAAACAGTCAATCTCCATCTTTTAATGTTAGTTTTATAATCTAACTGTTGTAGTAGTAATTGGTTACTATAATGATATGGTCAGTATATCTGCGCACATACTTCATTTAGCTGTGCATGTGAATTGTTGCTACAGTACGCGCTAGCACAGCAGTGCAGTTGAAATGGCAAGTACGTTTACACAACAGTACAATGATTGTAGGAAATAAATTCATTCTGGATTCAATAAATTATTTGTGAATTTTCTTTTCTTTAGTTAATCCAGTTGATTAACTAAAGAAAAGAAAATTCACAGTACAATGATTGTGTCTGAAGAAATGGTATTATGAGTTTACTATTTTGGTAGACATTCCTCGAAAGAAATTAAAATGTCTTAAATTATTTGAGAGAACACTGTAATCACATTTTTGGTGTTGGTACATACAGGTGAAATCAAGTGATTTCATCATCTGTGCCTAGGTTAGGCTTACTTATTCAATTAAGTTCATTCCTTGCGTCTTTCAATTGGCCTTTCGCACATGAACCTAAAGAAGATCAAGCAAACTGAGGTTGGGGATAGGAAAATAACATTTTGACTTGCAGTGATGATATCACGATTAAATAGATTAAAATTAATAATGTTACTAACAATGCAGTATTTATAATATCAACATTATTGTTATTTTTGTCAGTGTGTGAACAAGAGGACTTCCAATGTACTGATGGTAAATGCATTCCATTTGGACTAACCTGCGACAGTCATGCAGATTGTTTGGATGACACAGATGAATCCAATTGCAGTAAGTTGGGTTATTGCATGTATTTGATGTTATGCTCTAACATAATCCAGCCAATAAAAGAAAACACCAAATAAACTCTTAATGAATGGTTATTAAGGTATTAAATACAGTAACATCTCCCAATTACGAACCTCCCAGCTACGAACTCTCAATTTTACGAACCAAATTTGTTGCGATGATGTCATTACGAACACTCATTTTTAACTACAAAAACACTTTAAAATGTATTTAACAGGCTTCAGGAATAATTTAAATTGTTACACCAGCTAAGAGAGAAAACATTCAAACCAATTAAGTGATATAAAACTAAGTTTAAAGCAAGAAATATCAATAGTTTTTAGACGAGATATATTATATTTTAGCTGTGCATGCTTCTTCAGGCATACTGTACAGCAAATCTCACTTTATGATCATTGGGGGCACTATTTGCAGGAATTCGCGATCTTTATGAAAAGAATAATAACACTCGTTTTGGGCATTATATGGTCATGTTTTCATTCGGAAATCACTTCAAATATATACTTCACCGTGAGTACACACAGGTAATTTTGGCTTCTGTAAAGTATTATTTTGTTGCAGAAAACAGCAAAATGTATCTCCCATGGCAAGGGAGCCCTAGCCCTTTACTGTACTGTGCTTTGTAAGCTAGGCCTACCTTCACCACACTGAGATGCTGAAAATTTCTCTGAACTCTCTGAATTACAGATTTTCTCATTTACGAGGGGTACGTAATTGGGGCATGTTACTTTGCGATTTGTAAAATGGATGTATAGGTTACGTGCAATATGTATGTTGGTATGGTAGCTAGAATGCATATATGTGCTGCATGAACAGTATAATATGGAACAAATGCGAAATCATGCTTGTAGGTTATTATTTTTTTTTTTTTGTATATATTATATAGCTGCAGACATTGCCATTTTACTTTACCAGAGAAAACAGATTGTCTTTTTTTCATGACTCAAACATGACAAGTCAGCATAGAGTACAGTAATGTACTATGTATTTCCAGTATTGGATAATAAAGTATAATTGATTAGTTCATCCAATAAATACAACTGAAAACAATCTGTTTTCTCTTAATTTTTTTTGTTTTTGTTTTCTTTGCTAACATCTTCGTCTGCCTTACCCAGCATGCACCGATGTACAGTACACATGCAGTGACACAGGTATATGTCTAGGGTACTATGAAGTTTGTGACGGTATAGAAAATTGTCTTAATGGCGAGGACGAAGCCCTTTGTGGTGCGTATTTTTGTTTAAGCATGTTCTACTAAAAGCAGAAAAGGCTATGAAAATTTATAAGAAAATTTGACATTAGAATCATCATATTACATTCATTTCATTTGTAAAATATACATTACTGTAAGTACATCCTAGTTTTATAATTGTTTAATTACTTCATCATTCCTGTTCATTGTTGGTTTTCAAAGCTGTTACACTGTTTTAGTAGATCGTGTATATTGCCTGACTTGCTATCATTACTGTGCATAGTTGCATTATTATTTTTGTTTTGTATACAATCTTATTCATAGTCACACACCGTAGATAATTTTGTATATTATAATTATATACAGGATTATTTGTATTATATAATATATGAGATATTATGTATGTACAGTGTATATAAATTTTATGTGTAACATTTCTTATGTTATATGTGCATATGATAATAGGGAGCTTTTGATTGCAAGACGACGGTAGGACGTAGAACGTAAGGACGTCACAAAAAATCATCTGCGCATGCGAGAACATTAAGTTCTCATAGTCGCATGGATTCTAGGACGCAATTTGGCCAAATCCTCGTATGCAGAGAACATAGGATGCCCGATAGGAAGGTCATGCCTGAGTGATTCCGTTCTAGTGTCGCGTTGTCGCACGAATCGAAAGACTCTAATATCTTATAATAATACTTTTGAAACAACAAAATGTAATACATATCCATATATATTACTATTTATATATATATATAAATCAAGATAGCCATTAACACTGTTAAATTATATATAAATCATCAATGAAAGATAATACCGTGTTTGAATAAAGGACATAATAATACATTGTGTAGCATAGCTCTTAACGAATGTAGTCCTGTAAAAAAATGAATAAAGAAATTGTGTAATAAAATACCTCTGGTGGGACTCGAATCTGCGACCTCTCGCTGTCAAGGCGAGCGTCATAACCATTAGACCACGGAGGCTTCATAGTTGAACAGATTCAAATACCACTAGATACACTATTACACAATAAGTACGGCTAGAAACAAATAGTTGCGTATAATATAAATCAAGATAGCCGTTAATACTGTTAAATTATATATAAATCATCAAAGACAGGTAAATGCAGTGTTCGAATAAAGGACATAATAATACATCGTGTAACATAGCTCTGAACAAATTTTTGTACAAATGATGATCTTTATAAAAATATATTATGGTAATTATAAGGGAAAAACTCTCAGTTTTTAAATACACTATTTAAAATATACTCTAGCCAATACTGATTATTTTTTCAAACACCCATTCAGTTTATTAGAAAAATTCCTCTGCCAAAGCAGTGGTGGCGCCAGAAATTTGCTAACAAGGGTCCAACATGTCTGATTGAGGGGTCTGAGCCAAGGGCTGATAAAGTCTTGGTCGACGGCCCGGAGTAAAAACTCTCATGCAGGGTTCACATGCAGAGTTTTTGTAGCTTAGTATGGTCCAAAATGTGCTTTTAGACCACAATATTAGGGATTGGCAGTCAAAACAATTTTCTTTGGATTGACAAATTATTATTTTTTTTTTATTCATGATCCGACGACCTAATTTTTGGTCGGACGACAAATTCCCCCTTTCCCCTCTGTGCTGAAAGCTGCCCTTAATTTTTTAACTACACATATAATTACTCTAATTTGTTTATTAGTCAATAGTTTCTTATTGATGGCTTATTGTTTATTAGTCAATATTTTTTTATTGATTGCTGTTTTCTCATTTTACAATTGCAGCTAAAATTATGTGGAAATTTTTTCAAGTATGTAACATCTATTTCAGGTAATGGATGTCCAGGAGGCTTTTTCCGCTGTGCCAATGAAACCACTTGTATTCCACAATCATATGTTTGTGATGAAGTGGGAGATTGCGAACAGAGGAATGATGAAAATGATTGTGATTGTAAGTACTTTATTCAATGTTGGTATTCTTTCACACATTGAATAATTTTATCCTGTATTATTTTAATGTGCATTTAATATTGCATTTTTAATAGTCTGACAATTTATGTACAGTATTATTTTAATGTGCATTTAATATTGCATTTTAATAGTCTGACAAATGTGTGTACAGTTCGCCCTCCAATTCGAGACCACCTTTGGGACCTGAAAAATTTTGGGTGATCTTTGGGTTGGTCACCAGTTAGAGGGCTAGGTTGTTAAAAGGTTGAAGATTGGGTCTTTGGAAAAGGGGTCTCAAATTAGAGGGTCTTGGAATTAGAGGGGTCTCAAACTGGAGGGTGCACTGTATTTCAGAAGCTTATTTAACCAATTTAAAGAAAAATGACAAAAACAAAATTATAGAAAGTAATTTCAAAATAACTGGCTCATTTTGAAGTAAAATAACAATTAAAGAAAAGATCCCCTTGTGTTTCAGCTGGAGGGCTGAAATACAAGCTACAATAGCGCACCGTCTTTCGGATGAGACGTTTAAGCCATTGGTCCCCTGTGCATTTATAGCCCATTTGCATGTTAAAGATGCAGTACATTCTTCGGAAAAGAATAGGGGATTTTCTCCAGGTGTACTACCCAATCACCACCAGAAGGACCCACTGGAAATTCTAGACTTCCGTGGGCTGTTGGTTTTTACACCGAATAAATCCATTCCAATCAGCATTGCTTCTCTCCACCCAGGAGTATGGGTACCTGGTGGTGGTGGAGTTGCCTGCTTTTGCACTGATTACCAGCAGCAGCATGTGGACCCAATGACCAGGGAAAACAATTGCGCTTTATAACCAGAGGAAAAAGGCGCATTATAAATGCCCGTATCCCTACCAGTAAAATAAAATTATTGAAGTTTATATTTGATATTAAAATTTACAGCACTATGTTATGTTTATTCATTTTATATACAGAATAATTGCCAAAACTGCACCCTATTAAGGCCAGCAGACTGACCAAAAAAATTCATGTGTACTTAAAGTGTTTCGCACATGAATGTCCTTACACAGATTTGTCTCTGGATCCACTGCTGTACTTTAAATAAAACAAATAAGTCCAATATATACATCTACACCATACTATTTCTGTTATTAAATATTAATATTCCTCAATTGCATCTATATTATAATTACGCTTATTTCAAAACAATATCACAAGTCCTCAATAAATGTCTTGGATTACTTTTTCAGTTTTACATGGAACATCAAATAAAAAGAGCAATTTCCATACACAGTCAATTTTCAAGCACACTCAGTTTTCAGGCACAGTATGTTAACATATATCATATATATATCATTCAAATTTCGTTGAGCACATGGTTTTTGGTTCCTCAATGAGTTACAGTAAAACTTTGCCTTAGCTGCCCCTGACCAAATTCGTTGTACTGTAGGCCCTATTGCAAACCATGTTTATTTTAATGCAAGATTTTCTTCGAGCACAGTCGATATTCAGTTTCTCAGGGAGTTGCAGTAAAACTTGCATGTAAATTTCATTTTTAAGCAAAAAAAAAAAATGTTTGAAGAGAAAGGCAAGATATTTTCCCTTAAAAATTAATACTGCTGGTGTTTCGTATAATTCTAGTGGTTCCTAATTATTTTTATGTTATGAAAAATGATAAGGCCTAAAAAAAAAGAACTTGTTTGTTTGCCGTCATTTGCCACCCCTAAAATCCAGAAAATTAGGGGCGGGTTTTTTTTTTTTTCAAAAAATTTATCTAAAAAATGATAATCGCTCAGTTTTCACAAAAAAAAAAAAAAAAAAACTTTGTTCCACCCGGTCCTGTATTCAAATTTTTACAATGTGACAGCAGTTTTTTTTTAGGCCTAATAAATCATAAAGCATTCATTGTAGATCGTAAAACATGATATTACCACTTTATTATTATTATTATTATATATTATTTATTATTGGTGGTCATGTCTTAAAGTTTGTTTACAAACTTATTTTGACCTCCTACTGCTCACTTCTTTTTTTTTTCAATTTCAATTGTAATATTTATTGTTTGATTAATTTATATTTTGTGTGTGGTAAAAAACAATAAAACAAACAAACCACTACTTTCTAACATTACATAACTAAAGAAATAACTGAATGAGATAACATGCAACATATCTTTTAGAGGTCATGCTTGCTTACCCACTAGTCTGTATAATAATTACATGTACAATATACTATGTTTGTTATTAAATATACATTAATTGCATCTATATAATAAATACATAATATCATACTATGCTTCTTATACCTTAATAAATATACCTTAATTGAAAGGTCTACTGATTTATTTCAAATAAGATAGTATAATACATACTCCAAGTATCGAAATACATGCCATCGTGTTGGGATTCAATATTTCAACATTAATTATATCATCATCAGGAATGAAAATTATCCATATTTGCAAGCTTATATGCACAAGTACCAAAAGTGTTTAACCAATCAAAACATTACCTCTAGTAGGTGACATAGCTATGAATAAACTAAAGATCAAAGCATTCTTACCTTACTGATCAAAGCTACCTACAAAAACAAAGAAAGTTCCTTTGAAGTTTTAAGCCCAATGTTAAGCAATGGGTGTAGCCTACGTATAGCAAATGCTTCTTTAAACAATAGTATAGACCAAAGTGTCAATAATGTTAGTATGAGAAATATTAAACCTAATTTATTATTTACATTACAGGCTACATTATCATTTTCAAGTGTACCTTGTAAACCTAAAACATTGGAATGCCGTACAATTTTGTATATGATCATTTATAACACAATCAGATCGTGAAGAATGTTCTTTAAGTCTAGTATCATGTATCAGTCTTGCCAATATAATCACTATTACAACCTGGACATTTAAAAAAATGATAACCAGAGCTCCTATATTCCACAATAAATTAAATGAACCTAAATGTATACATAGACCTACTGATGATAACTTGATTAAGATCTGGGTTAGATTGCCTTATCTAGGAAAAGCAAATGAATCCATTTTATGTAGGTGCTTAAACAATGTAAAGAAATACTTAGTTAAAAAGGTAAAATTCATAACTTTATGAACCCCTAAGGAATAAAAAATAAAATAAACATATCTTCACTATACTATGCTATTGTAATAATCTCGATTGCATTTATATAACAAATATATCTACACCATACTATGCTATTGTTATTAAATACACCTCGATTGCATCTATTTAATAAATATATCTACTCCATACTATTCTATTGTTATTAAATACACCTCGATTGCATCTATATAATAAATACATCTACACCATACTATGCTATTACACCTCAATTGCATTTTATTTTCTGAATTTTCTTTTTAGTTTGTGGCCAGTTCGAGTTCCGGTGTAAAGATGATGGATATTGTCTTCCCAACTATTATGTATGCGATGGTGAAGATCATTGTTTTGACGGCAGTGATGAGTTGGAGTGTGGTAAATGAAATCACCAGTCTGTACTTCACAGTTGATTTCTATAGGATTTCCTGGTGATATTCAGTCTATAATATTTGATAGTACAGTACTGCAGTAGCTTATACAAGATCAACTAAAATACTTTTGGTGGATAGCACTGTCAGTGATAAACACCTTGCCTCAATCATGCATCAAGATTCCTGAATAATGACCAATTTTATGCCTACCATTGTTTTCCTGAATTATTGAGGCTTGGCCTGCGCTTCATAACCGCAAGGAAAAAGGCGCAATATAAATACTCAGTACAAGCATCAGTTTCGATGAATATATTTTACATATGAGTTGGATAGTAAATGCTTAATGTCAAAGTGGGCTGAATGTATTGGATAGTAAATGCTAAAGTTCAAATGGGCTGAATATATTGGATAGTAAATGCTAAATGTCCAAGTGGGCTGAATATATTGGATAGTAAATGCTAATTGTCTAAGTGGGCTGAATATTTTGGATAGTAAATGCTAAATGTCCAAGTGGGCTGAATATATTGGATAGTAATATGCTAAATGTCCAAGTGGGCTGAATATATTGGAGAGTAAATGCTAAATGTCCAAGTGGGCTGCCTATATTGGATAGTAAATGCTAAATGTCCAAGTGGGCTGCCTATATTGGATAGTAAATGCTAAATGTCCAAGTGGGCTGAATATATTGTATAGTAAATGCTTAATGCCCAAGTGGGCTCAATATATTGGATAGTAAATGCTAAATGTCCAAGTGGGCTACCTATATTGGATAATAACTGCTAAATGTCCAAGTAGGCTGAATATATTGGAAAGTAAGTGTCCAAGTGGGCTGAATGTATTGGATAGTATTTTTTCCATTGTTTTTTTAAGAATCCAAATTTACAGTATATGGCGCATTTCACATTCTGGAGAATATACAAAGGCACTGGCATCAGTATTTCCCTGGTCACTGGATGTTTAGTTGGCAAACCAGCACATTTTTGTGCAAATTTCTCTGCTTCTTGGGAAAGTCATGATGCAAACAAAATGTTTCTCAATAATAATAATAATAATATCACCATATTGTTATTATTACTAGTTATATTGTAAAAAGTAATTGTTCTACTAAAAAGGCAAAACTTATTGTTAATATTTATGAAGTTCTTGTTAAGATATGTAAATTGTAAACATAATTTAGAAAAAGAAAACTTTCTATAGTATTTATAAATATTTGACTATTACCTTGATTTTACTTTTATTTTACATTATATTGTAGAGTATATCGTTTGTCAACACAAAGAAAATAATAGCCTATAGTATGAAATCCCAGTTTGCCAAATGTTGTCGTCACCATCATTCAAAAGCGCAGCACACTACTATTTTGTACTGAATGTAATAACTTAAGACCATCAAAAGGACTTTCCTGTTGCTCACCACTTTAATTTACTAAGCCATACTGTCAGTGATTTAGGCTGTTTAATATTAGGCACCAATTTCATATCTACTAGGGCTAGAAGATGTTCTGAGATTGGTTGGCTAATTGTTTAAATCTAATATTAATTGTTTAAACAAAGATTTAGGTTTTGTTATATATATATA